TATGATAAGTCGACGTGCAGTATATCACGCTGATCCTCTGTCTCCTGAACTTTCTTCCTACTTTTTTCTAATGCTTCCTCATCAGTTACCCAACCTGTGGGAGGGGGCATTATTCTTGGAGGGGACCCATACTTTTCAGAGCGAGGCACTCTCTTCTTCCTTTTGGGTGTCCCGTACAGTACGTAGAAATCTAAAGGACACCCAGATGGTTCCCCCAACAAGTCTACTTCGCGAACTCCCTCTCGATGTAGTTGCTTCAACAGAGTATTGCGTAATACTCCTCTCTTTCTTCCTTCTGCTTCTAAATCGATTTCTTCTTCAATGTCTGTCATCCCGTCGTCCTCTTCATCGTTGTAGGCCTCTCTAGAAGTCTGGCCTTCTTCACATACCAACACGCAAGCTTCTCCTTCATTGTCCTCCCTCTCTTCTTCTTTTTCTTTATTCTTGAATTCATTGGCCAGTAAGTAATTATTGGCCACGACAGGAGGCAACGTACCAAATTGAATAGTAAGAAGCTGATCTGGATCTTCTCCATTCCTTCTGTCTCGCTCGAACTTTGATCTCCCAGAAGAAGTTTCTGGCAATTCCTTCATTGATTCATCTGTATCGGTCTCTTCACTATTTTTGAGGACATTTTGATTGGCTACCTTGAGTAGTTTAGGTGCTTTAGGATGTGGCACTCCCTATTGTTGCCTCATCATCCGTCCGTAGTTTCGTTGGAATCGCCTTTGTTGGGTCCTAGTCATCTCATCGAAGGGTATTGCCCTTCCTGCATTGTACTGGAATGAATGCCATACATTTGGCCGGCGAGGTTGCGGCCTGAATGTTCTTCCATTATCTGCTGGCCTGAACTGCCTCTCAAAAGGCGGTCCTCTATAGAATGATGTACCTCGCCCTCTATCAGGCTGAGTGTTTGGGAAGAAGGTAAGGCGATGAGGATGCTACCATATCCCTGGTTTTTCCGTATTTCCATTCACTTCTCTTTTACATCTTGCACACAGGACGTCTTCGTCCTTTTTTGGTTCTTTTCCCTTATTCATTCAAAGACGCTAGGATGTGGTCTAGGATCCTCTTCTCCATCATCTACGACCAACTTGAATTTTGACAACTTGTTTTTGAATCCAGATGTCACCATGTTCACTCCAAGTGGCTGTGGAAAAGGATTTTCGTCCACTGCCATCTTCTTCTTATCATCGAACGTAATTCGTCCTGATTCAATGACATCCTACAACACATGGCGAAAAACCAAGCAATTGTTAGTCAAATGTGACCATGTATTATGCTACTTACAATATTTTTTACCCTTAATTTGTTCAGGGTTTGGCAATTTGTGCTTATCGCTCAACTTTATCTGCTTATCCCTATATAATTTATCAAATATAAGGTCAGCTTTAGTCACATCGAACGAAAACGTTCTAGCCTTTATGTTTCCATCTTTTATGGGCTCATCTTTGCCCGATGATCTAGGCTTAGCCATTATGGGACAAGTATACATATCTCCTTTGACCAATTCGGCCAAACACATTTCGGCCTGGTCGTATGACTCGTCACTGATGGTATGAACATCAAAATTTGGGTCATTGTAATAAGTCCCTTTACTAGAATTTTTCATTTGTTCTTCCTTTCTTATCAGTCGTTCATACCTAATCACATTCGCACTCAACTGGAAAAGGTCAGGAAATTCCTTGTCCTGAAATTTCTTTTTTAAATCAAAGCTCAAGCAGCCCTGAGCGACTTTGACAAATTCTTTTTCGGGCAGAGGTACAAAACACTTGCTTCTTGCTGTCTTGAACCTTTGGAGAAAACTTTCTGCCCATTCGTTTGGCATTTGACGTAGATTCGCCAAATCAGCCAAAGTGACTTTAGACTCAGTTTTATAAAACTAAGCGTGAAATAACTGTTCCAATTGTTGCCATGTTTGAATGAACCAGGAGAAAGCTACTCCTGTTAACGAATTAGGGAAAAGCCTCATTTTATGGTAATCGGTTACATCACCACTTTGCAATGTGAATCGCCCTATGTGTTCTAGAGTAGACACCTCTCCTAAACCGGTAAACAGTGAAAATTCTGGCACTTTGTACCCTCTAGGCCATGGATATGCTTGGTCTACCCAATCGGGATATGACTTTGTGTACGTCAGCCTAATGATGGGACGCACCTCAAAAGCCATCTGATCCTGTACGATCTTCATAATCTGATTCCTTAACATGACGTTGGGATTATATGAAATTCCTACAAGCTGATTAACCGGTTGATTTGCATAAGGCCTGATATTTGGTCCTTGATTGGCAACAAAATTACCATAATTAGGGCCATTACCATTAGCCTGAACATCTATTTCCTCATTAACACGTGGGGTGTACTGTCCATTGTTTAGGACATTATCTCTTATGTTTGGATTACCCCCCAAGTTAGGCGTACCACTATCATTGTTCTGATTTGGCACTGCAGTACCCCCTTGGTTTGACGTAGAGGGACCAGAAAGTGGTTCTACCCTTTGATTTGGATTTAGGACTGAGGGATTATGTCCCACAATTGTCCTAGTTTGAAAGTGATTTGCAAGAGGTATAACCGGTTGACATATTTGGCCTACTAACTTATTCATTGTTTTGTTCAAAGTATTTAGTTGTTTGGCCATATTGTCATAGTGTGCATTCCCATTTTGGGTAAATCTTTCCATATTATGAATACTTCGAAGATTTACCTGTTCAACAACGTCTTGTGTGAGTTCTCCAAGTAATGCACGCATGGTTCGAGGACTCAACTCCGTCATTGGTTCGTAACGACTGTTATTGCTCTGATTCTGTCCATCTGTTCGTGGAGAGGCATGCTGCTCCTCATATCGCTCGATCACAGACTGGACTCCTCCCTGACTTGCTGCTTCCTTATCGGATCTCTGAGGCATATTGTTTCACCTTTTGTACTTTCAACACCAAACCCCACTGTCCCACCGAGCGTGCCAAATTGTTTCGCGCGGGTTAGTCGCTAACAATTAAAAGGGATCAGACGATTGTGTAAGGGACAAACCTTTTGAGACAAAGTCCCAAAAAGGAGTGTTCTTTTATTGGCGATGACTTTACAATTGGAAATTAAAAACAATGTGCCTCCAAGGGGCGCAAGCACACGAGTTACTGAAAAAAGTGTTTAAGTCTAAGCTAAGGAAATTAAAATTACATGTTCTCCGTTCGATAGTTTTTGATTCGGTCCTTTGCTCTATGTTTTTTCTCCCTTTTATACTTCACGAACGATTTCTTTGTGATCAACCGCCTAAAAACTGATTGATCGTCCTATAACTGCCCACTTTCCTCGTAATGGCCAACTTATCATGAAAATTGCCTTTTTTAACTACTGCCATTACTCTTCGTCGTTCAACCGCTTTCGATTGAATTCTTTGAATCGTGGAACGTAACTGCTTTGATAACTGCACTTCTTGATAACCACAACGTTTTATATTTGTTAAGACCTTGGGCGACTTGAAGGTTTAGGCGAGAATAGAGTAACAGTTCTGGGCGACTGTATGGCACTCCATTCGCTCAGATTCTGGGTGACTTGCAAACTTGGACGATGACGTTACCGCATTCTTGGGCCTCCCTATTTGGACCTTCATCTTGATTTGTTTGATTGAGCTTCGTTCTTTGGGCTATCTGATTTGGGGATTCTCCAATTGGGCTTCACTCCTTGAACCGTTTGATTTGGGTTGAATTTTTATGTGTCAACAACACCAATTGGAGATTTTCTTCTTACTTTTTCATGAATCCCCCTCTACGAAGAAAATACCATGTCTTTTTAGCCCCACCTAAAGGAGCAATCAATTCATCTCTTTCTTCCTCAAACCCGAAAAAAATAACTTGTTGCATCGAGATCCAACTCTTCGACCACATCAAGACTTATTGAGCACAATTCCCTTGAGAGCCAACGATTGATTTTCCCATCAATCATGATCCAATTACGGGTCCACAACTTATATTCGATAGCGACTGGACGTACATCCATATAATTAAGTTTGAAGCTTAACTCCAATATCACTCGTAGGAAATTGAAGCTAAATCCTAGAAGATTAATCTATTAAATGGAGTAACACTATCCCTCGTAAGACTATCATCCATCCCATTATATTTAATCAAAGTGGAGCTTTGTTTGCACTTCCCGACAGCATTTGTTAAACCAACTTTAATATGTATTTTTAGTTAAAATACCATGAATAGCAAACTGATTGTAAAGGTTAGTACAAAGTCACCAGTAGAATCCTCACCAGCCCGTCTGCTGCTACTTCTTTTGAGTATATCAGATTTTTGATACAATTCATTGTATGTTCCAAAGATTTTACTATAAAGCTGGATTGTCTTCATTACCCTTCATTGGTGCGCTTGTTTTTACTTTATTATTGCCCCTACCTAATACCTTTTCTTTCTTCAACAGTTTGCTTCATCCTCCATTATTCATTTCTCTAACCTCCAACACAGCTGAAACGTTCGCACGAACGTTTCTGTTCACACCTCATGGCATTCCAATGATTTTTCAATTGTGTTCTGCCGGCAGTCGTTCTATACAAGATGATGTCTCTCTCCCAACCATGTTTGGTAAAACACTTACCTTCCTCGTCGAGTATGAGGAATGGAGTGCCCTAAGATCGAAGAAGGTCGAACAATGCTGCATTTCAACTGTGCCGAAAGTTATAGAAATGAATAATAGAGATGATGCAAATTGTTGAAGGAATGGAAAGGTATTAGGCAGGGGTAATAAGTAAAAACTAGATCAAGTTGCTGCAAACTATAGTAACACTATGGGAAAAATGCCAGCACCTTTTCAATAAAATATTTCAAACATGTAGTAATTTGTATCAAAATCTGATAAATTTACTCAGAATAACAGCACCAGATGTCGAAATCAAGTACAAAAGAAACATAAAATAGAAACAACTTCCAAAGCGAAGGGGACTAATCAGGAACATATACCCCCATAGGCAAGTTAACGACTATTTATTGAACAAAACAACAATATGCAAATGAGTTCAGAATAATATTTCAAGCAAATTAGCATGGTTAACAAAACAATATTTCCCAAGTTTAGCCCAAAAATTCGTGGCTGTAATTAGTAGCTACCATTATGATCATATTAATACTATTAATGGCCACGAATCAAAAACATTCAACCTTTTGAAGATAAAATAGAAGACAAGATTGATCTAAAAGAAATAAGTACAATGTTCTTGAGCCCAGTAATCAAACCAATCAATATGCTCGAAACATTATTTAACAATGATCATTCTGTTACCGACAATGAGTAAGGTAGAATCAACAAAATCCTTTTAATTTTGAAGCTTCCAAGCTGCATACACTGCAAAATAACAGGTGGGGTGTCAATTCAACAACATTCTGGTTCAGAAATCTCAAACAACTTAACAATGGGCCAAATTTTTGTTAACATCTCAAGTCAGTCGAGTAATGGAGTTCGATTGAAATGCTAATCATCATATGAGAGACCCATCAGCTAATAACAGAGGCACTTTAGAAAACAACACAGGATAAAAAACGATACTAGTTAATAATATTGGAATGAGGTGGGGTGATATATAATATAACTAATCACTGAGTCAACAAAATAAATTAACTACATGCATTTCATCTGACAGAGCTACCGTGCACAATTTTTCTGGAGGCTTTGACAACAAGAAGATGCTTGGGAAGTTCTGCAGGTATTTTCATGCAGCAATTATTTCGCACTCAGCCATTTGTTTTGAAGTTGTTCAAGAATTCTGATCTCAAAAGTCTACAATCTCTTTCAACCAACCACTTAAAAATATCAATATGACCAACTCAAGAAGCAACATAAAAATGGAAAGACAATGAAAAACTAAAGTAAAAAAATAAATAAATAAAGAAAAAAAATAAAAGCCACACATTCTTCTGCTGTCTCTATTATACATTCATGGATGACCAACTTTGATACTTTCTATACATAATCATGCCTCCAGACATTAGATATACAAGAAGAAATCCAACATGTATTTCTGGGTTCAGATCTTATTGATACTTGTCGAAGGACAAAAGAAATTGAAAAAAGGCTGAATGAAGACAGTTCAATAACTGATGACTCACAATCCCGTCACTGCCACGAATATCCTCACATACAGAGAGGAGACAGAAAAAAAAATTTACTTCTGTCATCCTAGAGTATTTTAAGCCAAGCGTACATGTCAAATGTATATTTTAGAACTCTCAACGTCAAGTTCAACTGCTACCTCATCCCACTTCCATTCAAATTTTGCAAGAGAGGTCAAGATTAGCTCTCATTCATAGTGGCCAAGTTTCTATTAAAATGCCAAAGCGATAAATGAAGGTAGCAATTACATGTGAAGAGAATGTGGTTCAGACAGATATGGGACTTCAATAAAGCGTGGAAAGGAACTAGTGAAGTTGAAATATGAAACAGAAAGAAGGTAAAAATATTAATACCTAATCGTGAAGAAAATGTAGATATGAAAAGAACATGTTATAAGAAGAAAAGAGTGGGATGGGATGCACACCCAGGTTCAGAGGAATGGCATCTGGATTTCCCACATATGCAACTCTTAATGCCCAATGCCAATAAGAAAATTTTCCACATAAAGGTTTACAGGGTGAACTAAACTGCAAGATATCTCCAAATTAGATCAAAAATATAGAAATTTCTGTTCCTCGTTCCTTTTAGCATTTCACCATTGTTCAGCCATTTGATACAAGACTCACAGAAAATATACCTTAGCAAGATCCACATATGCAACTTCATGAATCTATCCAGAATAAAGGGTATACATAAATTGGTGACCATATAAACATTTTGTACAGTTTAACAAAACACATACTGGACTAAAACACAAAATGTACGCTACTAATTTGAGAACTTATAATTTCTACTTGCTGATGTAATTTACGTTTGCAGGTCAGACTTTTCATTTTGATATTTAATTTTATTATGGATGTTTAAGTTAAACTATGAACATATTCTTGTACTTGTAAATGTAAATTCTTATCAGAGCATCTCAAGTCTTATGTCTTGCCTCACAAGGGTAAAATGCCGGAAAAAGGGGAGGGACGGGGCAGGGCAGGAGGGATTATAATACAGGAATTCAAATAGTGATATAAGTCGAGAACCATGAAATCTTTACACTTCAACGTACAAAAAAGTGATACAACTACAATGATATTACATAAACAGTCATCCAAAACAAAAAAAAATTGGAAAGTACAAGAAAGGGGAAAGTCACACAAACGCACTTGCAAATATACAAGGAAACCATATAACCATGGACATTAGATGGCAAATCGCTCCAATTATAAATTTACCTTAACTCCAAATTAGAGTCATAAGTACACTCAAACCAATCACCAATAGGAGAAATTTCAAGGTAGAATCTGCCTGCTGCTGGTGATTTCCACGATGGGCAAATCCATGAGCATGTCCGCCATGAAAGGCATTTGAATGCCCAAAGGGAAAACCAGGACCGGCCCCATACATGTTGGCATCAGGAAATCCATGCACTTGTATGTTAAAAAACGAAGGGAATAGACCACCAAGAGCTGCAGATAATGTGAAGTTCCCAAATCTCGCAGTAGCCATAGGTGCAAAACCCCTGAAGGGGCTTCCCATAACTCCAAATCCTTGTTGGGCAAAGGCATTAGCATTAGGATCCGGTGGAGGAGCTGTTTCAGGCCTCTGTCCCGCAGGCCGATGTGGAATTTCCATCCCAGGAATTGACTTAGACCGAGGGTCAGTTGAGTTCTTACCTCGGCCATATAGAGGGACTAACTTCTCCTCGTCAATAAGAGCTTTACAGACCGGACATTCCCGGGACCGAGAGTGAATGTGAAGCCATTTGTAAAGGCAAGGCCAGCAAAAGAGGTGACCACAGAGTGTGACAATAGGGTCTTGTGCTAAATCAAAGCAAATATTGCACTCAAAATTCCCGGCATCGCTGTTGTTATTGTTATTGCTAGAGCAAGAAGGGCTGAGGGGGTGCCTACTTGTCGATTCCCCTAACCCACTCTCCATCTTTCAACCTCAAAATACTCAAATATCCTATCAACGCAAATAAATAAAATTACCACCACCACGGATATCCTAAAAAAGACAACACCTTTTATGCAATTTAAACACCTATTTCAACAAACCCTATCCACCAATGACATAACTCTGACAAACAGAAATATTAAATCTCAATCGTAAAATCACAGATTCTTGACACAAGATACTATTTTCTTAAAAAGGCAAATCAATATTATGTCTAATTCAACACCATAATTCAAAAAAGGGCTTTAAAATTTGAGCCCACCTAGAAGAATTAGGGATTTGCATTTAAAAGAAATAAAATAAAATAAAATAAAATCGAACTATAATATCATTAACGGAATTCAGTAGAAACATGGTGGGATCTGGCGTGATCAAGAATATTAAGCAAGTCAAAACAAAATTAAATCCACAAAGTAAGAACAAATTACAGAGAGGAAGAGAGAGGATTGACCTTTGGACGATGAGAGGGATGGAAATCTATGGATTGAAACAGAATTAATACCGAAATTGAGAGAGAACAGAAATTGGGATAACCACGAGCCTCTTTTGGAAATTTCAGCGCAACTAAGTCTCTGATCCAGCTGGCAAATTATTATTGGGTATCCCGTATCCTTGTGTGAAGTTTCGAGATTTGTCAAATTGTAAGATAAAGAGAAATTTATAATCGCAGTCCCAATCTTTCGGAAATTAGAATAAAAGTCCCCAAGTATCTAAACTATTTCCATGCAAGATTATATTCACTTGATTAAAACTATCCAATTTTTCAACATGTCTAGCACATGGTATGTTGTTTAGGGTTATTTTGTTAAATTACTTCAATTTCTCACCAATATATGCAACAAAATAAAAGGGAAAATGAAAGGAAAATCAAATGCAGCAACGTCCATATCATCCATGTTCATCCTAACTTGTTCCCTTGTTGTTTCAATGACATCTCCTTTGCCACCCCTAATTTGAATTCCACAATTGTTGACTTGAAGCATTGGACTTTTGGACCTATTTTATTATTATTATTATTATTATTTTGTTTAACCCAAACCCACTTCACTGTCCAGTCAAGAGAGAGAAGTCAAATTAGACCCATTCCCTCAAAATTCAGCTAACCCAAACACATTCTTTCATTTGAATCAATCCAACCCTTAGTCTGTGAGTGAGAGACTTCGTCCCTGTCGCGACGTTGCAATTTCGATTCGCACAGCAGTCAATACCTCACCTCCGCGACTTCCCTCTCCAATGGTGACCGGTCATTGCTCATCGTTCCCTTTCCCTCTCTAACTTTGATAGCCCCTGGTTGTAGTACATCTCCTACACTAGGCTCTCAACAACCGCCATTCGCCAAGGCAATGAGGCACCAACCGGCGGGTGGTGACATCCAACTAAACCAAGTGCTAGCAAAAGAAGAAGCTAGACGACTGTCATAAGATGGCATTTCTCAACAATTTCTAAACTTTTTTGAGGCATTTATTCCTTCATAGTTTTAACTACGTAGAGTTGTTTTACGGTCTGAATTCCGAGCATATTGGTTTGAGCAGTTCCTATACAACCTATTGCTTTTTTTTTTCTACGTCAATAAATTTTTTTGTACGCACTGAACTTATATCCTAGCTCCGCCCTTGGTTGAGTTCAACCATTGATTGTTGGAAAACAATTGAGAGGAAGGAGTTGACTGAAACATAAACGCCAAATGCTTAACTGAGGAGGAACTCAAATGAAGAATTTCAACAGATATATGAAGTAACATTGAATGGAAGCTTGAACACGTGATTAAATGTCTTATGATGGCTGAGACAACAAACCATCGAACACTCCGATACATTTATCGGCTCGAATATTTGAACAACTTGGTCAAGTAGCAGCTGTCTTGCACAAGGAAATTGATTCAAGTGATTGAAACACGAGATCTTTTTTTACAGTTATAGGACTATTGCAATGGTTGCTGATATCAATACGGTTTTCCCCATACATCTAAATCAAGAAAACCTCTTAAAAAATAGTTGCTTACCTTTTACCGTTTTAAAAAGCGATATTTTCCTCATTTAGTATCTGAAATTACTTGCGGAGTCCGTCGAAATTAGCTCAAGGTTTAAACGTGCCTCAAAGGGATTACACTGAGCAAAGATGGGAACTCTATAATTTTTTTTACTTCAAGAAGAAAATGGTGTGTGTATATATGTGTTGTGAACGTTATACTTGAATGACAGATCTATAGATTAATTGATTTCAAAATTAAATAAAAAATTCCTACTGCCATTTTTTTTCGTCTTTTTTAAAATTACCCTGCTCGATGAGGAGCAGCTTGTTGATGGAGACGATTAACTTTTTTGCCAAGACTTGGAACAAGTAAGAATATAATAGTGACAAAAACCTTAAATAATAATAATAATAATAATAATAATAATAAGAAATGAAGAAGCCTATTTCTATTGACATAATTACCTATGCAAGTTGACTAAAACGCGGTTATCTTAGATTGGGTTGGGTGAACTCATAAACCGGTTAACTAAACAATTAACTTCGACTTTGATTTATTAACAACATTTAATTTATTTTTTTCTAAAGAAGTGCTAAACCTGATTTCTTGAAAGAAAAAATAAAATAAAATAAAATTAGTTAGGCCATTTCCTACCCTACATCAAAATTTGTTGTAAGTTTTAAGCAATTTTACATTAAATCTTGCATCAAACTAAAAATTATTTAATTTAAGTCAAAATCAACAATTAATTTTAATCACATATTTTACGGATTTCACTACTTTTCAACCTCACGTCTCATTAATTTATATCATAATATATTAAAAATATAATTTTAATCCCCATCAAATGAGCTTAATTTACTACTACCTAAATAATTACATTTTGTTAATGAAAATATAAAATTCGTTAATAAATTTAAAAGTTTATTATGAATAATAATAATAACAGTAGTATTAAAAAATAATAATAATTAATTAAGAATTAAAATTTATTTATAATATAAAATGACACAAATATCCCTTACATTTGGTGTGAAATGAAAAGAAGGGGGCAAAAAGGACTTTAATCAAATCTGGCGTATCACTATTCATTACTTCATTTTACACCAAAATGGTGCAAAATTTATTACTGGATTGGAGTGACGTTGCACCAAATAGTTGATGCACAATAGAGAAAAATGAAGTTTTGGTATAAGGGTTAGAGTTGCCCCATGACAATAATAAGTTGAAACACGTACAACATGGCATGTGTTGGATGATTTTGCTAAGTGTACAACTCCCCTAAAAAGGGGGATCATGATTATTTTTTATTGGGTGTGGGCCACCCTCTGATGAGGGAACTGTAATCTCAATGTACAAATAACAAAATTTATGGTAGATTAGAAATCATCTTAGTCACGTGTTCATGTGGTCCATGGGAGATTATACCCTTATGGAAATTTGGGGTTTTCGATTTTCTACTGTTTTTTGATATCTCATATAGTAAAAATGAATAAAAATCTAATTAATAAGAGATCACTAAACTTGTAAGTTCTATCTCAACTTTAAGTGACCATTGGAACTTTACTATTGCAAACACTTATTAATTTTTACAAAAATATGTTAAAACCTCTGTCAAAAACTTTGTCAAGCAACTTCTTGCAATTTTAATATTGCATGTGAACTTTTCAATTTCAAGGTTAAATTTACAATAGTTTCATCTCGATTGTGTAACTAAAAGGAAATAAATAATAGAGAGTCGTATTGATCTTTGGCCAACTTACAAAAATACTCTTAAAATTAGGGGTGTTTTGAAAAATCATATGAAAAGTTTTTTGGAAGAAAAAAACTGCGTAAATTTAAAAAGTGACACAATGTCACTTTAAAAGTTTAGTATCATTTTTTTAGTTAAAAAATTCATACAATGTAGTTTTATTAAAATGTGATGTTTGTCACTAAAAAAAATGATATAAATCAAGAAGGTGACTGGAAAAAAAATGACAAAAATTCAAAAAAAATGATCGAAATTTAAAAAAGTGACGAATTCAAAAAAGTTAATACAAATTAAAAAAAGTTATGACAAACACTCAAAAAAAGTGTCCCAAAAAAATTATCCATTACCGTTGAGAAGAATAACAGATATGATTCTAGCACAAAAAATGGTCAATTTTACGGAGAAATCATCTTTCTTGAGCTCATAGATCTTAACCTCTTCCTCTACATCATTGACAAAAAAATCCAGATTATAAAATAAGGAAACAAAAATATATAGAAACCTCAATCTCTCAAACCTTAGCATACATCCAGTAGTCTACGAATTCCAAATAATCAAGTTCCCCGAACTCATCCAATTATAAATCCCTCTTGTGTTGATATCGCCCTTCTTAAAATATCCAGATATCATCACTAACCAAACATAAAACACAGTCATTTTCTCAAACATCTCCTACGCAAAGAATCAAAGTTATATCTAATACATATCTAGTAATTCACAAAATTGGTAAAGTTGCTTCTTGCTAGAACCATGAGGTTGGTCTCTGTGCTTCTTAAAAGTTGGTGAAGCTGGTCTGGCTAGAGGTGATTTCGGCTAAGGAGGAGTTGTGACGGATGGTGGAGTTGCCATAATCTTGTGGAAAAGCTTCAGTGGTCGACGAAGGTAAAGAGATGCACCGATATATGCTCGGTAGGTTGCTGGCTCGAATACAATGGTGGTGCCATCCTTGACATCAGGACTGATTACGGTAACGGAAATGGGAAAAGGTTGAAGAAACACCACCATGTTTCTCTCTTTACGTTTTGAGGTTTGAGACTTTTAGACGTATTAATTACGTTTTAAATTGTTTGATTAGTTTTAAATGGTATTATTCAATTTTGTAACTTTTGTACCGTATTGGGCCTAATAAACCTTTGATCTTTTCTCATAATTTCATTGGTCCAAAGAGTAGTTTTATGGCCTAATTAGCAAGATAAAGTCCGTTATTTCTTTAGGAAAATGTTATATAAAATGTAAGGCAAAAAAAAGAAAAAAAGAAAAAAAAAAGATAATAAAAATCTGCATGCTCTTCATTAAAGTGGAATTTTAGTTCGGGTTTTCAAATTTGCTTTTAGGGTGCGTTTGATTGTCAATATTTTCCTTGAAAAATGTCTTTTTCCCACCTAAAGTCCCATTTTTATGTTGTTTGATTGATATTTTTTCCGTGAAAAATATTTTCCCACTTTCAATCACGTGATCAGATTTTCCTTGAAAACAAGGAAGATATTTTCTTTGGGTAGAGTCGAATTTTATTTTCCATGAAATTCAAAGTTTCCCAAAATTCCATTTTATCAAGTCTTCCACCTACTCACGTATCTAATCTCGTTCTCTTCTCTTCCCCATGTACAAAATCTTCTCTAATCACACAATATATATAACCCGAAAAGACGGAAGAAGAAACCAAAAAGAAGGAAGACGAAACCAAATCATCACACAAACGAACTAGAAAGAAGGAAGAAAAATCAAGTACCTGATCGAATCATTGCTTCCATAACCACCCTATTCACTGCAAAAGGTCGACACTGCGCTTTTAATTGCGTCAATTACAATTTGTTTCACAGACTTTAAAAAATTGCGGTATGTTGTTCAATGTGAATGTCTTTTATGTATTTTTTTCCCATAAATAAGTTTATTGGATCATAATCTAGATATTAATTGTGTAAAACGTTTGCTCTGGTTTCGTTTGATACTGAATGTGCCCAATTATTTTCCAAAAATTTGATAGTCTGTGATTTACAGTACTTGTTATAGTTGTATATTAATTTTCATCCTTGGATATGTGTTAGTTTTGTGTCTCAATAACTTAAATATGGTTTGTGATTTACGTGTTTGATGCCATTATTTTCAAAGTTATTCCTCCTACATATGTAAGTTGCCAACAGGTTGAGCAAATACCATTGTTTTGCCAAGTTATCAAAAATGACTTGTAATTCGTTTTGAAGCGAGAAAATATGTTTTGAATCAATTAATTGCAGAATTTGACTTTTGTGCTCGTGTTCTGTATCACTTTGTCCCTCGCGTGTCCTCTGTGTGGTGACAAGGTTTCTTATCTGTTGTGCTGGTTCACTTTTACTCTTTTGACATATAGTTTTGCTTGAAGCTTGCATTACTAGCTTCCTTGCCATTTACCTATGGAGACTTAGATGGCCATGTGATATATATTGATGTGGAATCCTATAGTTCAACAAAGTACCTATTGATTCGGCTGTACTAATTTCAATGCTTCACCATGAATAGCTTTCTAGAATCTTAGTCACACTCTGCCTTTCTTTTCAGAATGATAGAAATGGGGTTTAATATTTTCCCAAGATTATTTCTCACGGAAGGAATGGCAAAAGAGACAAACATGTTCAATGTTCTGTACTTTATCTTTCTCAATTCATTCCTTGATGTTTTGTGATGGGTATGAGATGATATTTCAGCCCTTTTATGGTGCTTAAGATAACCAAGAAATGGGTTTGTTTGTATATTACGTTAAGGGCTATTAATTTAGTTAGATCAAGAATTAGAATATCAATTTCAAGTTTAACCATAGTGCTTATATCCTATGTTGGTCGAGGACATGACTGATAATTTTTACTGTTATTACTTGCTAATACCATGTTTTTATATAGATTGATGTGCCAAAATTATTTTGTAATTTGTCCACAACTGTGACTAGTCATAGGGATTGAACCTTCCACTTTAAAATGCAGTTTTAAGCTCCTCTTCAGCTACAGATAGATTTTTCCTCACCTGCCTTGGTTGCCTTTACTATTTGCTTCAACCTTCTAATATAAGAATACCTAAAAGATGCATGCAGACTCCATTATAAATCTATCAGATTTTTTATTTCTCTGAATAATGTTTCAGAATTATTTCTTTGGTAGTAACTCAGATTGCATATATATTATTCCAAATGAATAAATTTATTATTCATCTTGTATAAATATAATACATAATTTATATGTAAATTTTATTTCATGTGATAGTTCATAACGTGGCTGCAATAAGGAATCAACGTCGACGCGAACGACAACATTTAGGTTTATTTTAGACTATGGTCATACAAGCAATTTTGATAAATAATGATATTAGGCATCGTGAATAATATCTTTCTAGAGCTCCCACACTAATTGGGATTCCGAATGGAAGATGACACTTACACGAATGTTTGGTACGAGTGATACAATATGTCACGAAAATAGGTCCGTTTCAAAGATTATGTGCTCGTTTGCTAACTTATGAGTTGTTTGATAGTAAGTTTGTTCTAATTGAGGAACAAGTGCTGTTTTCTAAACACCATCGGGCAGGACCAACATAATCGAGTTGGACGTTTTACTTTCTTTCAATCTAGTCAAACAATGAGTTTTTACTTCCACAGAGTCTTACCGTGGGTCTTGGACTGTATAGAGATATTGTGATTAATGTCACTTCTCATAACTCTCCATACGAGAAGGAAAATGTGAAGCCATGGTACTCATTTTTTCAAGTTCGAGGTTTGTGGTTATTTCATGATATGTTAGAACTTCAATATTATAATATTTTGAAAATTATTCGTTTTTGAAGGATGTTGTGAGGGTAATAGATGGTACACATATTACTACGAACGTCTCCTTAGAAGAGCAAGCTAGGTATCACAATAGAAAGCAAGTGATTTCTCAAAATGTTTTGGTAGTTTGCGCATTTGATGTGAAATTCACGTATGTGCTTGCTGATTGGGAGGGATCAGCACATGACGGTCGATTGTTAAAGAGTGCAATATTACGCCAAGGGCATAAGCTAACAATTCCTTTTGATAAGCTGTATTACTATTTTGAAAAAAAAAAATCTTTCACATAAAAGTTATAATAATTAAATAATTACTATGTAATAACAACTGTAACAAGTAAATATTATCTTTCCGACGTCGATTTTCCATTGGTTTTGTGATTTCTTGCACCATACCATAGGACTTGTTATCATCATAGAGACATTGAGAGTCAACGTCTTGAAAGTAGTAAGGAGTTATTCAATTTTCAACATTCATCTCTACGTAATGTCATTGAGAGGACAATTAGTTTGCTTAAAAAATATTTGATATTTGAGATATCAAGCCTACCACGACATTGACACACAAGCAAAGATAGACCTTGCTTGTTCTGTCATCCACAACTTCTTAAGGATTGATGACATATAAGATGTTTGTAAGGAGGACTTAGTTAGTAGCGATAAAGAGGTTAACCCTACACACTGTTAATGTACCTAAGGATGAAACTACAAATGCTCACATATATTTCACATCTCAAGAAACATGGTCTAACAAGAGGAATACAATTCCTGGGTTAATGTGGGCTGATTATCATCCCAATCAGGATGTAGGAGTTTATTTCGATTGAAATATGATATTTTTATTTATTTATATTGTTATGTAATGAACATAAACTTGACACACTTTCATATTTAGCTATTGCTTAGAATAAAGACATACTGATATTAGATAGATTTTTTTTTCATGTATTTGTGTAATGGTTGACATAAGGTTGCTAGAATTTTAAATGTTGTAATTGGATTTGATCTTATTCGTTTCAAATTATTGACTCACATTATTTTTACTTGCTTGTATTTAATAGTCAACCATAAACTTTTAATCTCGCTATACAGATTTCATAACACATAATCGACAAAATTCTTCGACACCATTTCGAGTTCCTAGACCAATCATCTATTTAGATGTGGAGGAAATAAGCTCAACCCAAGTGGATCCCAATTCTAAGAATCGTCATGTGCATTGGAGTGATGCAATGGACGGTTGTATGATAACTACACTATTGCATCAAGTGTTGGTCGGTCACAAAAGGAGTGACGATGGATTTTCATCATTTCACGTTTCCAAAGAAATTGAGAGCGTGCATAACGGATGGGGAGTCATGGTCTCAGATAAGAATGCGAGGGTGCGATTGAAGACTCTAAAAAAAGAATTTTTTGAAGTTCGCCAATTGTTGAGTATGAGTGGTTTTATGTTAGATCCTGACACTGGATGTGTCACAGCTGATGTTTTAGTTTGGGAGGAGTTTTTAAAGGTACAATATATCATGATCAACAAAATTATTAGGCATTAAATATTAGTAGTACAATATCTTTTGAACATTGACTACGCATAACACACATTCCACTCTTTTTTCCTTTCTAGGGAAAACTAGAATTCAGAATGTAGAGGACCAAACTCTGTCCTTGTTATGATGATATGAAGGCTATCTTTGGAAATGACTCTGCTACAGGAGATCGAGATGTAATCGGCAATGATAATTTATCTCCCATTCCTAGTATGTTAAATATTTTAGAATATTGGTCGTGATACGCCTCCACTGCTTTAAGATGGCGTGATTGAATAATTCAACAAACATATGCAAAAGTATGGTATCTATGTTGAATTGCTACTTTCTAGTAAGAGAGATTTTTTTTTTGTTTTTTATTTTTACTTTTTGTTCTTCTGTTCTATGATGGATATAATCTCATTGTTGTTTATTTCATCATCTCATAATTATTTTTCATTTGAATGAAAAATAATTAATTCTCGTATAAAAGTATAAATTTGGATTTGTGAGGTTGTTTTCCTTATTGTTATAAATTTTATTGTTTTCTATAACATTATCGTCAAATACGACTTCTTCAGAAAAATATAATCAACGATATTAGTCAAGATATTTAATTGTGAAGGGGCCATTATTTAGTACGTTAAAAAAACTGATTGACAATTTGTCATGGAATAATGACAATTTCCATGGAAAAGGGGGTAATTTCCATGGAAAATAATGGCCGTCAAACAATTGAAGTTGGAAAAATCGTTATTTCCATAGAAAATAATGGATATCAAAAATCAAAAGATGGAAAAATGCAATATTTTCTAGGTAAAAAAATAGGTCAATTAAACACCTATAATTAACAATTTCCATAAAAATAATTTTTAGACAATTGAATTACTTAAAATATAATTTTTTCCATGCAAATTTCATTCCAATCAAATGCACCCACTTCTTAAATACATCATCACTCGACTCTACGCTCCAATCAGTTCGGAATCAAAGCTAGGTCGATACGTGCATCATTACACATTGCACAAGTGAAAGGAGAAGGTATTTAATCAATAATAACATTAAACAAAATTTGTAACATAGACAAGTGAGTTGAAATAAAAGATTATTAAGAAAAAAAAGTGACTAGAAATCTTTGCATGAATAGAAAGATTACAAAGAGAATGAAACTCCTACACACATTCTATCACCTTCTCCTTTTTATTTAATCACAACTAATTTCATATCATTTGTGTGTTAAGCAACAAACCTCTTTTCTTGCCTGTTTTCATTATAATTTAAAAGGTAGAAACATTTTAAGCATTAAAAATCTAATTCAATAAATCATATAATCTCATTATTGTTTATTTCATCATCTCCTAATTATTTTTCATTGGATTGAAAAATAATTAATTCTCATATATGAGTATAAATTTGAATTTGTGAGGTTGTTTTCCTCATTGTTATAAATTTTATTATTTTCTATAACATCATCATCAAAATTCGACTTCTTCAGACAAATATAATCAACGATATTATTCAAGATATTTAGGCCTTGTTTGAGCCACATTATTTGAAAAAAATACATTTTTCAACAGTGAGTTTACATCATTTTAACCACACATTCTTTAATGAAATAATATTACACGCAAATCCAAAATATTTCCTTATTTTTTAACCACACATTTTCCATCAATATACTATTCAAAAATACATTTTCATTCCAATAATATAGCTCAAACAAGGGCTTAATTGTGAAGGGACCATTATTTAGTACATTAAAAAAACCAACTAACTAATTGTCATGGAATAATGACAATTTCCATGGAAAAGGGGGTAATTTCCATAGAAAATAATGGCCGTCAAACAATTGGAGTTGGAAAAATGGTTATTTCCATAGAAAATAATGGATATCAAAAATCAAAAGATGGAAAAATGCAATATTTTCTAGGTAGAAAATTAGGTCAATTAAACACCTATAATTAACAATTTCCATACAAATAATTTTTATTACACCATTGAATTACTTAAAAAATATTTTTTTTCCATGCAAATTTCATTCCAATCAAATGCACCCACTTCTTAAATACATCATCACTCGACTCTATGCTTCAATCAGTCCAGAATCAAAGCTAGGTCGATGCATGCATCATTACACATTGCACATGTGAAAGGAGAAGGTATTTAATCAATAATAACATTAAACAAAATTTGTAACATAAACAAGTGAGTTGAAATAAAAGATTGTTAAGAAAAAAAAGTGACTAGAAATCTTTGCATGAATGGAAAGATTACAAAGAGAATGAAACTCCTACACACATTCTATCACCTTCTCCTTTTTATTTAATCACAACTAATTTCATATCATTTGTGTGTTAAGCAACAAGCCTCTTTTTCTTGCCTGTTTTGATTATAATTTAAAAGGTAGAAACATTTTAAGCATTAAAAATCTAATTCAATAAATCATATAATCTCATTATTGTTTATTTCATCATCTCATAATTATTTTTCATTGGAATGAAAAATAATTAATTCTCGTATATGAGTATAAATTTGAATTTGTGAGGTTGTTTTCCTTATTGTTATAAATTTTATTATTTTCTATAACATTATCGTCAAAATTCGACTTCTTCAAAAAAATATAATCAACGATATTAGTCAAGATATTTAATTGTGAAGAGACCATTATTTAGTACATCAAAAAAACTGACTGACTAATTGTCATGGAATAATGACAATTTCCATCGAATAGGGGGTAATTTCCATAGAAAATAATGGCCGTCAAACAATTGAAGTTGGAAAAATGGTTATTTCTATAGAAAATAATGGATATCAAAAACCAAAAGATGGAAAAATGCAATATTTTCTAGGTAGAAAATTAGGTCAATTAAACACCTATAATTAACAATTTCCATACAAATAATTTTTATTACACCATTGAATTACTTAAAAAATATTTTTTTTCCATGCAAATTTCATTCCAATCAAATGCACCCACTTCTTAAATACATCATCACTCGACTCTACGCTCCAATCAGTCCAGAATCAAAGCTAGGTCGATGCATGCATCATTACACATTGCACATGTGAAAGGAGAAGGTATTTAATCAATAATAACATTAAACAAAATTTGTAACATAAACAAGTGAGTTGAAATAAAAGATTATTAAGAAAAAAAAGTGACTAGAAATCTTTGCATGAATGGAAAGATTACAAAGAGAATGAAACTCCTACACACAATCAATCACCTTCTCCTTTTTATTTAATCACAACTAATTTCATATAATTTGTGTGTTAAGCAACAAGCCTCTTTTTCTTGCCTGCTCTTATTATAATTTAAAAGGTAGAAACATTTTGGGCATTAAAAATCTAATTCAATAAATCATATAGGACACATTTGGCAAAAACTTTTTGCTAGTAGATTTTGACTTTTCAAAAGTTCTGCTAAACGGGCCTTATTATGATAGCCATAAACCAATTTTGTGAGTCTCACACGTTGCAAAACTAACCTTGGACGTGCATAGTTGCAAGATTTGGATTTAACAAATGAATTTAATTAAATAAAAATCAAGTAATGGACCCTATAAATAGACAACTTTCTCCCGTAATTAAACCCACTCCCCCATTTACACAAATCTTTTTCTGTTTTTCTTCTCCACAATGCTAATGGTGGCTAGCCAAAAAATCTCTTCTCTGCTACTGGCCCTGTTCTTTATAGGTAAATTTGATCAATTCTTCAGTTTTTCGACAAAATTAATGTTGCATTTTGTTCTGTTTATGAATATTTGTTTTTGAAAAATAAATTCGCAGGAACCACAGTTGTTTCAGCCACAGTTTTCACGCTTCAAAACAGTTGCAGTTACACAATCTGGCCGGGGACACTCTCCGGTAATGGAGGCGCCATTCTTGGGGACGGCGGCTTCGCATTAGCCCCCGGAGGAACCAGCCAACTCCCCGGCCCGCCGGGTTGGTCAGGCCGTTTTTGGGCCCGAACAGGTTGCAACTTCGACGAAGCCGGGAACGGAAAATGCATAACTGGTGATTGCGGCGGCACATTAAAATGCAACGGCGGTGGCCAACCGCCTGTGTCCCTTGTCGAATTCACACTTGCACGTGACAACACGGAGAAAGATTTCTACGACGTTAGCCTCGTCGACGGCTACAATGTGGGCCTCGGTGTCCGTCCCTCCGGCGGCTCCGGCGATTGCCAGTACGCCGGTTGCATAGCCGACCTCAATGGAAGCTGTCCTAAAGAATTACAAGTGACAGACCCGGCCTCCGGTTCGGTAGTGGCGTGTAAAAGCGCGTGCGCTGCCTTTAACACAGCGGAGTATTGCTGCACCGGCGAACACTCGACGGCTGCGACTTGCCCGCCGACACAGTACTCTCAGATGTTCAAGAATGCTTGCCCGACAGCTTATAGTTATGCGTACGACGATGCTTCAAGTACACGCACATGTTCGGTTGCGGATTATTTGATCACATTTTGTCCCACAACGTCGTAAATTACCATTAATTCATGGTTGATGCTTATTATTAAACATACAATAAATTGCATCAAAAACTTGATTATGTTGAGTTAATTTTTAACTTTTGTGCATTTTTATAAATAATTACTTCATAGATCTAAAGAAATTACGTAATTAATTTTAAATTGTAATAAATTTGTTTTCTGAAGGGAGGAGACAGGAGTGAGTACATTATTGGGATAGATTATTGAAGTTTAATACCATGGTCGGTATATAAGATTATTTAATTATTCTAATATAATGAACAATTAGATGAAAATTATAGAAAAATGTTGGCCAAGTTTTGTACTAACAGGCTTTTTTATGATCGTTGTGAATCAATTGTATGCGAATAATGAGACTTGTTTATAATCGAAATTCCAACTTTCTTACATTTCTCGACTCTAAAAACACATTTCCGATGAAACACCACATTGCAAATTTGTATCTATGCATTAAAAAACTTTATTAGTAACACATTCCTTTCCTTAAGAATAACAAGATATGCCTCGATGAAAATCATCATGTAATGTGACACCCGATGTGAGATAAAATAATACAATTAAAATATAAAATTTGCTTGATTGACTTATCATTTGAAATCACATCACAGACAAATGATTGCAGTGGGTAACATGTAACATTATGATAGAAACCTAAAATGATCTCACTTCGCCAAGCAAACTTAAAAGTAATTAATGGCTGAAATAGAATTCTAAAATTTCATTACTGAAACTTGATTACAAAGGAACAAATCTGCTATAAGAGGGCAGATTCATAATGCAAAAGATAACAGAAAATGACAAGGATTTATGGACATTCGAGAGGTCCATTACTCTCCCAATTGACCATCGAAATTCTGCCCGAATGACCTCCCAGCTTTCCCCCATTATATTTATAGAGATTTTATTAGTTTGTTATTACAATTCTATTCTTTTGCTAACTAACTATGGAATTCTCTAGAATAGTGAAACTTGTTTTGGAATATTGGAGGTGGGGGTCTATCATTACTCGCTGCTCCAAATCCACCTTGTCCTCAAGGTGGAAGTGTGATTCAACTTTAAAATTCGGAATTTCATGTAATTGCATCATTTCTTTGATAAGAATTCCCACCATGCCAAATGCTGAAATGCGATATTTTAGTCCACATTCTGTTAAGAAGTTCTTGTGACGACCGCCAATACTTAGAATGTTATTCATGCAAATCCCATAACCGGTAGCACCCCTTTGAGGGCTTACCAAAAAATGAACCAAAGTGATAGGAACCTTGTAGCTCGTTGTGTCTGTGGTTTGCATCTCCAATTTACATACCCACTTCATTGAAATGAAGTTAGGTGTAGCTCCACAATCAATCCCGACTATTACTGATTGCCCAAAAACAAATCTTCTATTATTCATGATTTTTGGCACGATGAGACCCGTTGCGGCGTTAAGTGACAGGTCGACCAACTCTCCCAATTCATGCTCTTCTTCCTTCTTTGACCCATCTAATTGATCATCCCTATCACCCTCCTGAACTAATAATACCTGTAGCTCCATTTGAATCTGTAATTCTACATCTGTTGACTTTTTGAAGGGTGTAGCACTTTGGGTAGCCGTGGCTGAATGGATTAAGGATATTGTGGCTACCTTTCGATAAATTGCGCAGGTCTGAGGAAAGTTTTGGCGTTATGGGTTGGGGGTGTGGTTTGGAAAGCAGTGCGATCGTAGGTTTGGGCTATATGAATTAGTTTTGACTTTAAGTGGGTCGTAAGTGGGATGGGCCTCTTTCCATGAGCCATTCTTATCCTCGGTCCTTTGGGCCAACTCCAAAATTGGGCCCAAATTTGGTGAAAACATTTCAAGTAATATCAGGTGGTGATTTTTCCAGCCATACCCCTCATTTCCACCTTTCCTTCATTAGGCACTTTTTCCCATTAATCTCAGGTTGCGATTGTCCAATCAGCTCCTCTCCTCTTTGCCCTTCTTTGCTTCGCTACTCACTCCGCCATCATCTAATTTGGATGTAATATCAGAAGTAGCAGTCGGTTTACGTGAACTTTTTGCAACCCCTTTTTCCTTTCTCTCCATTTTGATTGAAATTTCAGAGTTGGCGGTGGTTTCTGGCGACGTTGCTTCTGCCCCGTTCTCCTTCTTTTCCCTATGCTTAGCCACTGTAGATTTCTCCTCCTCTGGTAATGGTGCTGGAGTCACCTGCAATTGATATGAGCATTCTTTCACCTCTATCTTCCAGTTCACAATCCCCCAAGGCTTACATATTGGACTTTCCTCAACAATGGAGATCCTATCAATTACTCCAGTCACCTACGTATCGTTCTGTAGGGAGTTTGGTGGAAGTGATATCGTCTAAGAGCTTTGTGAAGGAATGAAAATGGCCTAGAGTTTGCTTATGGGCTTTTTGATTTGAAGGGAAGTGTTGGGCCTGTTTTATGAAGTCAGCAATGTCCTCCCCCTATCGGGCTTACTCCCTAATGAAGCCCTATCCCTGTGGTTGAATATGGCCCAGTTTCCTGTCCCAATCCAACTCTAAGAAATCCATTATTTTTTCATCGTTCTCCTCCTCATTCGGCCAATTCACAGAGATCAATTCCAAGGCCTGCTTCGATCTCTTCTCCTCCTCCTGCGATGGCGATGGTGATGGTAAGATCTCTGCCTCAAACAGCCACGAATCTAAATTATCCTTACAGAATATATGTGTGTTGAGTCGGCCACATGAATCCAACCATGTATCAACGGCTCATTTCTGCAGCATTACCATCTTCTCCAACATGCTCCTTATCAAGCTCAGATTCTCTTGTAATTCTCTGTTGAAAACAGCTTTAATTAATTCGAGAATCGACTGCTCTGATACTAATTTGATAGGAACCCTGCTGCTGTTACTGCGGACTGGTGAATTTTTTATGGTTGCAAAGGTTCAACAGATGAATCTGCTGAAGCAAACAAAGAAGAAGTCAGATGAATGTAATGCTGTGAATACAGTAACCCGTTGATGTAGCACAATTTTAATTGGATTGTAAACAAGAGATTGTAATGTTTATTCAAATGAAAAGAAGAACAAAAAATGGAATGACAATTCCCAGCTTTCGAGAGGCTGGATCTCTCCCAATTGGTTTAACCAATGACTCAATATTTTCCTAGATGCCTATCCTAGCGCCTCCCTACTACATTTAAAGAGAATTTACTAGCTTTCTATTACATTTTTGCCCCTTTGCTAACTAACTATGGAGTATTCTAGAATAGTTAAACTAACTACTAATTTGGGGTTATATCAATACCCTCCCCTTGAAATTCACCTTGTCCTCAAGGTGAAGATCAGGGTCACTTTCCAAGATTTTGTACAGCAGAACTATTTTCCTTGCCATGCCCATCATGACTCGAACCGAAAATGGATATGTCAATACCAAAAAATTGATAGACCCTTTAACTAACAGTAATGTCTTGTCCATGAAAATTTCATGACCGGTTGCACCTCCACCCGTGATTTCTAAAAATGGAACCCAACCAATTGGAACACAATGATGGGTTGTGCAATCTGCATTTTCTTTGTCATTTGCGCAATTCCAAACACAGAATTAGTTATAAATCCCAATTTATCGCCTCCCTCCCAACTATTGTTGATGTCAAAGATTTCATTGTCTTTACCCACCGTTTTCTTCACATCCTCTTCGAACTTGTATTTCTCATAATCCTATGCCATTTCCTGAACCGATACCTTCAAAATTGCATTAACATCATTGTCGAAACACACATTGATCTAACTCATCTTAGGCACACCCCTTGGTGCAGGAGGTAACAGCCAATCTGGGATAATTTGGTCGTAAATGGCAATGAAAGGTGATTAGGTCAAATTTGGTTTGGGATTGGTCGGTGGGCCATCGCTTACTTCCTTGACATTTGGGCTGTAATTGAACACAGGCTTTTTAACATGGTTTGGACCCAATTTCATTTGGGTCTGTTTGAGGGTATCACTTTTATCATTCATCTTTTGTGCCCAATCCTTGAGTCCACCCACTCCTTGAGGCTCAAGCATGGTTTCTTCTTCTATGCCATTTTTAGATTTCACGCTATTAATGGAGATATTGTCCAGTGGAACTGGAAGATTATGCACTTGCGACACCAGAATCTCAACATCCCCTTGGAAATGGTTTCCTTCTTGCTTTGTTGCCGGACATTTGCCAAAGAAGTCGCTCGCCAGAGGTTCCTTCTCCTTCTTCAGCGATTCCTCACAGTCTCTCCTCGACAGCGATGGCGGTGGCGATGGAGACACCTGTTCTTTGCCGCTAACGGAAGGCCTAATTCCAGCCGATGCTCCACTTTTGGGAAAGAAATTTGGAGAAGTAGATGGGCAGTAGCTTTAATGTGATTGGAAGGGTAGAGTAATATTGGCTTGGGTTGTTTTTAATATGGGCTTACCTTTCAATGGGCCAGGTGCAATTGTTTGTGTCAACATCAAAACCAAGCCCAATTGTTTGTTCCCGTGAATCTAGGTCGTGTCTGCCAGCCCATTGACAAAGTTTGCTTCCCCGTTCTTCATCTCGTGATTCAGCCCATTCACGGTGACACCATATAAGGCCCATCTTTGAATCCTTCTTCTCCGGTTGTGGGGATGGTGGTAATGCTAAGAATTCAATTGATCTTCGATTCCCAATGATAGTGATTTCATTACTTTGACTTCGGTTATCTCTGCTTCCCCAAATTTTATCAGAATTGGATGGAAAATCAGATGTGGGAGTGGTTTCCAACGAAGTAGCAGCTAGTCCTTTCTCCTTTCCCAACTCCACCGTGTATTTATTCTCTTTCTCTACTCTGATACCAATTGATAGGAACTTGAAATGATCTCACTTCACCAAGCAAACTTAAAAGTAATTAATGGCTGAAATAGAATTGTAAAATTTCATTACCGAAACTTGATTACAAAGGAACGAATCTGCTATAAGAGGACAGATTCATAATGCAAAAGATAACAGAAAATGACAAGGATATATGGACGTTCGAGAGGTCCATTACTCTCCCAATTGACCATTGAAATTCTGCCTGAATGATCTCCTAGCTTTCCCCCATTATTTTTATAGTGATTTTACTAGTTTGTTATTACAATTCTACCATTTTGCTGACTA